TATAACAAAATCAGGGTATTTACTTCCTGGAAAAATATGGAAAATATGGAAAAAATAAAAGAATTTCTTTTAAAAATCCTCTCTTTGACAATTTTGTTTTTATATTGTAAACAGTCAAGCCAAGTAAATTATGTGTTTAAAATATAAATGTATATCTATGTTTATTTATATATACATATTCAATGTCTTAATAAAATATTGAATATGCAGTACGTATTCTTTATTGCAATTTTTTGTGATAAAAAAAAATGAAAATTCTATATGCAAGTGAAAAATATTTATTTTATAAAAGTCATTTAGTTTTTCCAGTACATTTATAAATTTAGTACTAGAAACTTTAAGAGGCTTTATGTTTTTCCTTCGTATGAGTGAAAAACATTAGAAAATGTATACAATAAAAAAACTTATTTTAGAAACTCGCACTGAAAAATTTTTAAAATATTTTCTTCCTGGAACTTTGAGCAAAAATATCTGAAAGATCAGGAAATTTTTTTACAAGATATGAGTGGACTCCCTGCAATATGCTTAAAAGTTTGCGGATTCCGAAACAGAATTGGGCGATTGCATAATACAAAACGTGTAATGCGGTATAGCCGATGTAAGCCGATTTTATGCCGAGTAGATTTCAAGCTTTGCGACATCATTAAATGGGATGGGGGAGGAGGAGAGAAATCGTGAAATTATATCAAATAATATAATTTAAACGCGCAATGCAGTATATCACATTAGTTTATTACACTCATTTAATTTTATCATGCGAGATTGCGCAACAGCTTTCTTTTTTCTTTAATCAATAATAATTTGCTTTAATTATGATAAGCGGCAATATTTAGTGCGTTGCGATCAGTTTCAGTTTCTCGAAGAACATAAAAATACGGGAGCATCAAATTTATGAAGATCATTGCTTATATTTATAGCATTATATGTATATATAGACTGCGCGCGCGTATCGACTCTCCGTTTTTAATTAAATTTATCTGACAACCCTTATATCGATTTGCTGGTATATCTAAAGTAAAATGATTGGCAAATTAGGTATCCATGAATAAAGCCGATAGCAACTAATATAGAGCAATTTTCGAGGATGAGATATATCGATTCAAGACAAGAGAAAATATTACCCATTGACACGCTCTTTTGCTATTTCAATTAAAATCCGTTTCACTTCCTTTGTATTTACCTCAAGTTCCAGAATTGATCAATCGTGAAAGATCTATCGAAAGATGATAAGAGAAACATTCTATCGAAAAGTGCTCCTGTCTTAATTCAAATTTATACTTTTATTTTTTCTAGCATGTAAACGACATTTGATAGTAACACAAGATTAGCATCGAATATGATTTACAGCCGTATTCGGCGCTAAACCTGCGGTAAAAATAATGATCCACATTTCTTTTCACAAAACGCGAGCTTCTTCCCTTCGGATTCCTGTCGGATCGATACGACACACGGAGACGTACAATGTCATCGTCCTGCACGGTCGGATATATATTTATCGACTCGCGTCAATTTTACAATCTAACGTGATTTACGAGGCGGATCCACCCGCGACGTATTCAATGCCGGACGAAAATCGTTAGGGAGAAAATCGGTTACGTGACGAATAACGTACGTACCGCGACCGTGAAATATGATGGGCGTTTGTGACAAAGTAGCTTCCTTTAAATCGTATCACCGACCGGTGCGATACACCATTATCTTGCGGAATGTCTTCCAATGTGCCTTGTATACATCAGCAGTTTTCTCCCCTAGTTTTCTCATGTCTCTGTTTCTTTCGAATTTCGTAGCACGCGACTCCATCATCTCGCGACTGCGCTTTAGCCAAGTAATTCCGGGAGGGTCATACTATCGAGGCAGATTCACGTGATAGAATTCATCGAGAGATCGGCATATCCGCCACAGAGGATATGAACGATTTACGATTGCCGTCCGAGTTAACAGGCGGAAGTACATCGATGTTTACTTGCGCTTTATGCGCATTGTAATTCCCAACCGGCTGTCCCGACGCGCCGGTTTCCCATTAATCGATGCTACATTTGCATTACCGTAATGAAAAGAGCGACGAGACGTCAAGCCGATTACCGTGAATTAACTTGATTAAGACCACGGTGTCTCTCGATGGTCTATAAATTAATAATCGACCATACAGATCTCGCTGCAAGCTGCGATATATACTCGTCGCAGTCATCTATCTATTTTAGGTCGTGACTTTGGTCGCCACTCAATAAAGCATTCCGTGATCCCTTTCAAATTTAGACATGACAGATAGAAAGAGCAAAAGTTCTTGTCTACGAAGTAATACTGAGATCGAAACAGACAGCTTCAACTGTATATTCTAATTGTCGGTTTGAAAATAGTTACCTGAGCAGAGAAAGATCACTCTTGATGTCGCAAACAATAGATTTTGAAATTTAATTTCTATGTATATGCTCTTTACTTGTTCTAATCTGCAAATGTACATGTAACATCTGGTACTTACAGCATCATTCTTTTTTTCTCTCTATCTATCTATTTCGTGCTTTCTCTCATGACAATTGTTTCCACCCGGGATAAATTCCGTGATTAAAACTTTTTACCTTACTGTACACGCAAATAGAAATTACATTAAAAAATTAAATGATCAGAATGACAAAAGACTCAAATTTCTTGCTGTTAGTAACAAAGTTCATTACTTTTACTTAACTATACGTTCCAACTATCTTTGTGTATTCACCTCTTTCTCTTTGGGATTTAAATAAGTAGATTATTTCGCTTTAAAGAGTTTCGATAAAAGATAAGATAAAATATTAATTTTTTCCTAGATCAAGATCTTTTCCCATTTGTGTAATATTTTTTCAATCCATGAAGTTACTATTTTTATGCGGTTTTGAAGTGCGTAAAAAAAACACACGTTCTATGTTGTGTATATTTCTTCTATTTTTTAAGTCTAAAAAAAAAAAAAAAATGTCGTACGCGCCAAAACGAGCAGTTCCGGCACGTTCGTCTTGTCTGCAACTTTATTCGAAGGACAGACAGCCAATTGCGCGGAATGGAGAAATTTATCTGACGAGTGTGTGACTATGCCTGCCGATTTGATTGCGGTCAGCGTATCGAGGAAAACGTCAAACAAACGACCCGTCGCTTTTTCATTCGGACTTTCAATTCGACGTTGTGAATTGTGGCTCGCGATCCGACGATTTTATCTGGCTATCGCCGGCATGTCAGCGAGCAATCTTTTAGTAGCCGGTACCTACTCGCGCGAGTGCTTTTCCTCGTGCGATCGAAGAATAATATTTGCAACATTTTCGCGTAACGAAAAATGCTCCTTTCAAACTACTATTCTAGAGAACTGTTTTGAGGAATATTGCACGGCACACACAAACGCGTTTTCGGATATTCACTTAAACTTATATTTGCTCCGTTATGTATTTACGTTTAGGCGTTCGGCGTAATATCAAAGACGCAGCAAAACTTTTAGGTTCGAAACTTTCGAGATTGACCCAGGAAAGTTTAGGATAGTCCCCCCAGTATAACCGATTTCTCTCCATCCCCTAACTCAGTTGCTATTTGTTTTATGCTAACATGGAGTTAATTACACCGATGTCGGAGTTGGTTTGGGATGCTTGATTATATTTCGCGAAACTGCGTTTAATTGCATTTTCATACGATTACGAGAAACTTACTTTGATATTAAGACGACGAGTTTTCGGATCCTGAGATTAATCACTTTTTACCGTCCCCAACAAGCGCAACGAATATTAAAGAAAATATTATCCCTTCTCTTATATTTCACGTAATACATTGTACGTAAAAAAAAATTGGAAAAAATAAACACGAGCAAAATTTTTCTGGCGTTTCTTGATAATGGCAGACCTACAATTTAAATTTCATTAGTCAGCCGGTATAGATACGCCCCCGCTTAATACGCTCGCAATAATTATTCGGTCGGTGGAATGTTTGCGGAGAGAGGCCGTAAATATGAGAGTCACCCTTAGCCGCCCTCTCTCCGGTTTGTATATTTTTTTGCCCCTGCCTCTGGACTCGTGTGCTCGGGTAAGCTCGCATTTTCGCAAAGGGGCCGGCTCGTATCGAGCGCAGCCATCGAGAAATCGACGTCCAGCTCGGGCAACACACGAAAGCGGCACCGCACTCGGTACACGCGAGTGTAGCACGCGTGTGAATATCGCTTACGTGGACCAGGCTTGCGCGGGACTTCTTCCTATCGTCGCCCTTATCGTGACGTTTAACGAGCACGGGTCACGGGTTGTATTATCCCAGGGTGGTTCGCTTTTTATACAGCCGCGCCGCGGTGGTAACTTTAACCCCGATACGAGGAGGGACGAGGAGATAAGTGATAAAGGCGAATGCGAATGAGACCAGCGCGAGGAAATAATTATCAATTAGATATCAAAAAAGCAATAAAAAAAACCGCAAAAGTTTTTTATTATGCCACTCGACAATTTCGTAACTGGCCACCTACTCCGCCATATTCTACATCTAGGGTGCTGACGTTATTTTTTATACGATTCTGTAAGTAGCAGTAACTTTTAACCTCAATGCGGCTGGAAAAGATGAGTGATAAAAGTAGGTAAACGACGTGAAAAGGAAAGAAATAATTAATCACTATACCATTGAATAAAACATCAGCTCTCTTGCTCTCTCTGATACGTTCGCACTTTGCTCTTATTCTCGTCGATTTTCATACGTAGATGAGTATTATTCGAATAAAATTCGAAATGTATTGCATTAAACATTGGTACGGCTCTACATATTTAAGAATATGTCAAATAAAATTTTGGTATCTTTCGACTAGTCCTGGAATATCGCTAAATCCTTAAAGATTTAATATTCCTTAAAAAAAAAAAAAATTATCGCGAAACGAACCAGAAAATATATCAGATACGGCGTAAACTATGACTTCATATATAGTTCCCTACATTTAACGATTGTTTGCATGCGATGCACGTTGACTTGTAAGGATTCTGCTCAATAACCATAAAAAGCAAGGATTAAGAGCTTACCTGTAGATCGGTTGGACGTCACTCTTGTACCAGACGACCAAGATAGCGGAATCGTTGCGATGAGGTGGACGAATATCGCATGGCAGCTCGGCCGTTCCACCGAGAATCGCTCTTACGAACAATGGTGGCCCTAAAATATAAAATTTTGATTGAATAGTTGTCATCTGTAATTTCCATTGATTCTACGATCAAAAGAATTTCAAAAAAGAATAGCATTTTTAATTCTCTTTTGTCCGCTATCAGCAATAGCCTTTATAAAATGCGCATTATATTAAATTATATTAATATAGATTATAT